CTATGTAACTACTCAAAACTTACATGGTACGTTATTACTCCCGGTATAATTATTTTGTCGGTAATTATTAGGAAATTCAACCTTAAAATCCGGACTAAATTGAAATTTGGCACAGTTAAGCTCAGTAAGCCTAGTTCATGAAAATGGCAAAAGCCCCCACAAATTCCGGAAGTGGTCAGCCGCATTTAGTCCGGATTTTAAGGTTGAATTTTCTAATATTCACCGACAAAATAATTATACCGGGAGTAATAAGTAGGCTTACCATGTAAGTAGTTACATAGTAGTGAAAAGATAGTGAGTGGACTTTAAACGTTAATACTAATAATGGAAAAATGTTGTTAATCTGTCAAAAAATACATTTCCATTTGCCTGACTGGATCATTACAAAAATACTTCCTAAAAATGTAAGAATATTCCCTATTTAAATACGGTAACTTTAAATTTAACGAGTACTAGGTTTACTGCTATGGGGAGAGTAATAAAGCGTGTTTTAATGTTAAATATTAATAGCTTAGTATAAAATAAATAAATTTGCCAAGTTTGGTCCAAATATATCCATAAATAAGCAAACTGCGACAAATTTATTTTCCTCCATAAGAATAACATGAGAATTTTAAATTTAATACTATTTTGTATTATTTATCTCAATAACCGTTAGAGATAGAGCAAACCTTGTTATATAAAAAATATGTATTTTAGACGATCTTTAACTTTTGTATTTACAAAAATTCTCTAATACCAATAGTTTGTGAAATATTGTCAAAAAAGTAAAAATTGGCTGCCATTTTCCAAGGTGGCAGCTGAAGCACAGCTGGGATTTATGGGGACTTTTGATATTTTAATTATTTAGGCTTACTAAACAACTGTGCAAAGTTTCCACTTAGTCCGAATTTGTTAGGTCGAATGGCAGTTTTATCCCTAAAATTCCTGGACTACTATATTTGTCCAGGTTTATTTATATCAATTACCGAAACCAAGATTTAATACTATTGTTCATGGTCTCTCCATAATCCAATTCTAGTTCATTAGACTCAATATCTGCTATCGATGTGAGAGCGCATTGTATATATTCTTCATCATCCTCATTTATCAGAATTGGCATTCTATTTAAACGGTCCCCTTAGCAGTTCTGGCATAACGGCCAACGAGGAACATTTAATGGACATTTCATTGCATTTACATCTTTCATTGCTACAATCTTTAGTATATTTGCAAAAAACAAGCCCGATATTTCTCGTGGATTAGGTGGTTCATTGGTTAAAACTGGGAATAGATTACCTTTTTTGCGCTCCCAATCCCACATTTCTGAGGGTAGTTGGTTTTCCAAACAGAGTTGTCCTTGATTAAATGATACGAATGATGAAATATCAAATATTTCTAAACTGACAGCAATGTTTTAAAATCACCCACTCTTCCCTGAAACTCAAGACATCATGTCAATAGCATCTGGGGTTGTAGGAGATGAATTCGTTAACTGTTACGATGCTGTATTACGTAGTCTGCGAGTAATTAATCAAATTGTAATCATTTGCAGACGACAGGCTGTCACGAGAAAATATGGCTCTCCCTTTGTCCTCTGTGAGTTCAACCATCGATATCAATGATTAAAACGTTGCAGCAAAACCTTTAATTCTGTTTCAAAGGATTTGTATAAGTTAAAAAGTTATCAAGATTTAAAGGATTGTTAACGATTTGAACTTGCTCCCTTTCCCTTTATTTAATGAGAGTGGTATGAGTAAAGACCAAAAATGCCTGCACTGTTCAAGTTCTTTGGAACCAACCAACAACAGTTTTAACGACTTTTAATTTGGTTATCGATGGGCTGTTTCTCACGCATAAGGTTATATGGCAAAGGGGATCTTCAGTGTCTGCGATATGTGATGGATACGTGAGGTACGTGGAAACCTATTACCTTGTAAGGTAATGCCGAAATGCATTGTTGTTTTTGACAGATATAGCAATTCAGAAAACAGCACGAAGATGGCAGACCAAGAAAGACGCTACAGATTGAAAAAGTCAGTGGCAGTGGCGGTCCCAGGATTTAATTTCCAGGGGGGGGGGCCTCAACCCTTCCCCAGGAAAAATGTGGAATTTAAAGCACAGTAACGTATTATTACATGCATTTGAGCTCTAAAATATCTTCAAGCTAATAGTATTTATGTTAGCTAATAAAATATTTTGGAGAGGATATATACCTCCCACCCCCCCCCCCCCCTTAAGGGACCGCCACTGGTCAGTAGATATTCATTTGAACACAGACACCGAAATTATAGTAACCAGGAACAGTTAATCCCTTAACCAAGTATTTTGCAAATGTACTAAAGATTATAACAGTGCCAGATGTGCAATTTGTGCATGCAAGAAAATGTCCAATAATTGTTCTCGGTTATGCCAGAACTGCTAAGGGAACTTTTTACATGAAATGCCCATTCTGATAAATGAGGAAGATGAAGAATATATAGGCCTGCACCGAATTCTCACTTTGATAGCCAATATTAAGTCTAATCAACAAGAATTGAATGATGGAGATGTCCTAGATGGTGGTTTTCAGTTCCAGATGGCACCAGTTTTTGGGACAGAAGACGGACCCTCTCGTCCCAAGTGAGCCAGACCATGAACAATAATATTAAGTCTTGGTTTCGGTAGTTGTTATAAATAAGCCTGGACAAATAAAGCTACAACTATAACCTTTTTAATTTTTAGTGTAATGATTATACCAAAATTACTTGTTTCCATGACAAATATACATAACTTATTTAAATTTATATAAACTATTTTTAACACAATATATACGATTTTAACAGGCTAGTGGATTATATAAACTTATTTGGCAAAAAACGCATGAAAAATCAATTTATTTAAGAATTTTTATATTATTTTGAGAATATTTTTAACAACCAATGCATATACGGAAGAAATGAATATGACCATTATTGTAGAGAATTTCATCATCTTTCTTTTTATAATTTACATTTTTTCCGTACGATGCACGGTTTTCAGTGTAGAAGTAAAAAACTAAAAAATGGGGTCTTTCCCCCCCCCCTCCACCATCTGAAGCAGCAGGGCCAGGGGTGGGGACTTTTGTTATTTTTATCTTCTAAATACTATTGCAAACATTTTTTTTTTTTACAGTAACTTCCTATTAAGATGAACGTTGTTTTTCAAAATACAAATTTTAATATTAACAGCGGTTTCATTAAAAAGAAATAAAAAATATCCATATGGCCATTATGTAAACAAATCTGGGGAAGGAACTTTGAAGGTCAATGTTGCAGAGCCCTAAGGAATTTACTTCGTTTTTATTTTGATGGCTCATCTACAGACCAAGACCATTCTTTAGACACCACAACCAAGCTTCTACGCCCAGCTGTTCTCTCAAATTAGTGGAGATAAAGTTTCCAGTTAAATAAATAGATTCCTTAATGTTAACCTGATGGGAGGAACCCCAACTTTGATTGAAGATACTGCCTAAACTAATAAAGATTTCAAAGAATTAAACCACTTAGCAAAACTACAGATCAGGGCCATTTTGTTGACACTTTAATCATCAAAATCGGTCTAAAAATGAGGGAGGAGTTCTGTTCACAAAAGTATGCTTAACGTATTATACAGTATATCTGTATAAAAGATATTATTGAAATAAACTAAATTACTGAAACAATACAAGTTATTCACGATCAATTTACAATAAAAATTAGTACCAGCATAAAAAATATATTTTTTACTAAATAAAAATTTAAACAATGAATTTACTGGAAGTGTAAGTGACGAACGTGATTTTAGGTTTACACCAGTGGAAACATCACAGGAACTGGCTGTCATTGTTTTATTTTGTTTATACAACATTCAAACACAACTCAGTCTGTCAAACACTGTATGCTATCTTTTACCTTGCAGCAAACTGATCAGGGAAATGATGAGCCAGTAAGACAATATTTATGTAGCTTATTAGTTTTGTTAAACTATAATGATTTTCATATATCACGTTCTAGATAATATAATCAGATGTATGCTAGGAAGGAGGTCTGGGTTATAGATGTACAGTCTCGTGGTAAAAACACATTAGTTTCAATGATAGCTAACTTGCATGAGTGTTCAAATAAAATTGTCCCATGAACTGGGATTTGAGATGAAAACTATCAACACAGTCTACTAACTCCACGTTAATAACTACAGTTCAACAGTAAAACTGTATTAAATGGAAATTGCATGTTCTGTTATATGTTTTTTTTTTTTTATAATAATGAACTACTCCATGTAGAGTTAAGCCAAGACTTATTTCAAACATCCTATTTTACATCCCTAAAAGTATAATGGAAATGTTTGTATAAAAACATCTCCTGTGAGAGAATTTTTAACTTTTGAGCGCACATTACATAATTGTTTTCATTGAGCCCAAGGCAAGACATGCAATTCACGTGAAAGAGGAGACACGGTGTACAATGTCAGCAATCAACTTCCAGCTGACTTCATTGTTCACAAAGCAATCCACCTACCGGGTATTGTAGGATAACCGATTTATGGTATGAGTGCTATATGGATGATAATTGGTGGCAGTTGACTATCAAACCAGTTTCATAGTAAAAAGCATTACTATGAGCATTACTATAAGTGCATAATTATATTTCTTATTAAGTGGTTGGTAAGTAATATTTCAACTTTTCTAATGACACATTCTAGACTTGTAGGCCAACGGATTTTTTTTACAAATAAATATCTGTAGGCTTTATACAAATTCATTAATTCATCTTTTTTGCCCATTAGTCTCCTTGTTCCGTATAAACCTGCCTTTACCTCTTTTATCAATTATTACAAGAAAGGAATTTCAATTTCAATGTTGTGTCACTCGATTCGTTCACCTGTACTTGCATTACCTAATGTACAGTTAAAATGTCATCTACCCGGATAAATTTACATGCATGTCCATTTGCAGCATTAAATTAAATGTTTGGAAAGCACAAAATAAATAAGGTATTTTCAATAAGCAACAAACTGTTTTGATAATATTTTACTAGCACTTTCGTGATGAATAACCTAGAGTTAATTAACGCTAATTATGAAAATTATTGTTAGCTCATTTTACAATATGTACAGTTGTTAAGGAGGAAAACCATAACGTATGTTCAAAAATATTGATTTATTAAGTTACATACATTAATTTCTACGTCACATGATCTAGTGTGTTTGTGGCTACACTCAAGATGCATGGGCTACACTGCCTTTTTAAGTGAAACATTAAAATCAAATATTCATGCTAATGATACATCTATGTATCAAAGGTATCTATGTAAGGTATCTATGTAGATACATTTATGTATCTTTTACATAAACCTGCGTTTAAAAGTGATCCATTTATTGAAATATTCGAAATAGTTTCAATGGATAAAGATTTGTTTCCTATTATCTTCCAGTGAATAATATTTACTGTTTAGTGAAGTTACTCTTTTTGATAATCGCATTTTGTCTTCCTAATTTTAATGTTTAACAGAATAGTTTGCTGATACATTATAACACCCTTATGATAACTTAAAATGGCAAGAACTATATTTTATAAATAAATATTTCTTTAATTTGAGTAGTAAATCAGTATAAATTATGATATTCTGTTGCCTAGTACAAATATATTGCTTATAATTTCCTTTCCAGGATGGCAAGTTAAAAACATTTATCTATTAATGTAGTGCGTATATCTTGAATAGAAAATAAGTAAATAGTAAAATCAGCAGTATGACTTGGATACGGTACACATGTAACGGCATTGGTGTTTTTGAATTATCTTCTCCTTGATTGCCAAAGCAAGAAAGATGTCCTTGATCAGGTAACTATAACAAAGTACATTCATATATTATTTACTGTGGCCACCCATCTAAATTAGTATCAAATCATGAAAAAAATTGCAACTTTCATTCAAAGAGGAATTTATATACTAAGTACAATGGCGTCTACTACTAAAAAGAGAGTCTCCTCTTTATTTATAAAATGGGAAAAACTAGAAACATTAAAAAAACACGAGCTACATCTAGGACCTATATTTTTTTATAATCTCGTGTTCATTAACGCCCTGGGCTAGGTGGTCCTGCCCTTTCATCTTCCTCGAAAATATGTCCCATGTTCATTTTTATTTCCTTTAAAAGACAATTACTGTAACACATTAATTTTAAACTGAATAAATATATTAACCTTTCAGATACACAGATTGTGAAGACAGTTATATCCTAGGGTCTGATGATTTGAGTTGCACTAGTTCCTCACAGATCTCCCAGTATTTCTTCGCCAGCGCCATGTCTTCAACGCCCCGTGAGAGGGACGCCATCTAGGAAAAACAATGTTACCTTCAGTATCATCAGTCAATAGCAAAACATGGGGTCCACAATGATGAAGGCCTCTATTGGAAAAACACGTTACCACAAACTTGACTTTAAAAAGTCCATTCTAAACAAACCGGTAATCCAAACTTGAACATGTTGAACAAAGCTAAGTTGACATTGTAATAAACTTCCACCGTTTGAAAACGTTTAAGTGTTTTAACTTAAAATATATATAGTACTACAGTACCCTTTACTTTTTTAGAATTCATCATGAAGGCAGACTATCATAAAGTACCAATAAATTATGCTTTTCCCTTAAGCAGAACCTGGAACAGTTCTGTGAAAGCTTACTTTTATAGCATTTTATATCCTTTACAAAACAGTAATTGAAAAAGGTTTCTAACCGGTTCTCATTAACTTTGGGTATATAAATTTGTTATGTACCCAAATACTGATAAGTTAGTTAAAACGTTAGGTTTGATTAAATAAAAATAAAACATTTATACCGATTAAAAACTTATAAAAACTAATGTTTAAGAAATGTTTTAATGTTTTTCATGATCGTACATTTAATAATTTTCAATCTAATTTCATAATACAGTATTGGTGATTTTCGAGACTTGATTAGTTGGTTTGTGCAAAAAAATCCATATTAACCATGACAGATGAACTTCAAACTAAAGTTCGTTATTCAAACACTGATGAGCCTATTAAGTAAGTACAAAAGTACAGTAGTAAGTAGCTTAAAAAGTAAATATTTAAACATACTTAACGTTTGACGTTTTTAATATTTTGAATTTGAATATTCCACCAAGACGGGTTATCTAAAGACATAAATTTAGAAATATATGACTTTTGTTTGGAAGTGAAATGTAAACTAACATCTATTACAACTCAGATAATACAACATTTCATTTTGGTTTATACGGACCTTATCCTAGTCAGTCCGTGCAATGAGTGGCATTTCAATATTTTAAAAATCTACTTTGATGTAAAGCGTAAGAGCTATTTTATTAAGCATCGTACTTCTAGAGGGATAATAACTGTGCTAAAATCCTATTCCTTTTTAGATGAAAATAAAGGTAACCTAATTTAGCAGGTATAGCCATTTTGACTTAAAATTACGCTTTTGAATAAGCTCTGCTCGTTTTTAGCGAATTTCCCTATAGAGAAGTAGCTATTACCGTAGGTGGCACGGTAAGACCTAGACCCGGGACCGATTTACTTTTTCATTTTGATGTCCCCAGAGGCCAAAAAGACCATTCGTTCAAATAACAATATATATATAATTTATATATATATATATGCATATACGTCCGTGAACGACGTCCGCGATAACTTGAGTAATTTTTGTCCGATTTTGATGAAATTTGGTTTCAAGGTGTAAACCGGGATAAACTTGAATGAGTTCGCGAACCAGCATGATCAGACCATGGGAACGGGGCTCTACGGGGGGGTTTTATGGGGTAAAAATTTGTTTTTCTCACTTTTGACCCTCAAAACACAAAATTTCCCAATTTCTCTTTAGACCTTTTTAAAGAGCTTAAAAAAACAATTAATTTAGTATATAAAAGTATGTTTGTTCGGTTAATAGTAACGGAGAAAATTAAAAAAAATTTAAATTTAAAATTCCCATATTATTCTTATGGAGAATATTGTCAAATGTTGTAGTTTGCTTGTTTATGGATATATTTTGTATTTTGATCAAATTTATTTATTTTGTACTAAGCTATCAATATTTTACAAAAAACACACTTTATTAGTTTCCTTGTAGCAGCAAACCTAGGTACTCGTTAAACCTAATGTTATTAAAATATATTTAATTGAAAATCAATTAAGACAAATGGAAATTCGCTAAGTCGGCAGGTTTGCTGCGGCGGGGGTATTTTGATCTAATTTTACTGGCCTAATATTGGCTGTTAACCCAGCTGTTTCTTATTTCCATGTTTGGCCTTTTGGCAGAGCAAACATTTACCCAGTGATTGCTTGACTATTTTTTCCATGCGTGGAAAAACACAATATTCTCTTAAGATTAAATAAATGTTGTACCCCCCCCCCCCCCCCAGATGTCAAAGTTTTAAATGTGTGAACTTAATTAGCTGTTCAATCATTACTTCTGGAATACAAACACACCATTTGTCATCATCGATACTTTTCCTTTTAAACAATATGTCGCTGTATATTTTAAACATTTCCCTGAATTTCTCACTGAGTGCGACATTATTCTTCAAATTATCAATAACTAGCCCTATCTGGTGGTCATTTTTCTGCTTTTCTGAAATATCCTTAAATAACTTTCTTAGCTCATCATCTTTAAACCCAAATGAGACGTTGTTTATGTATGACTAGCAGTTACCCGGCGCGCGTTGCTGCGCTAACAAAATACTTCTGTCTGTGTGAAAAGCATGTTTTTCTACATTTAAACCGACGATAGTCAGGAAATGCCCTAGTGCCTTATAATGGTGATTGCGAAAGCAAGACACTAAGGAAATTGTAGTTGCTTCAGATGAAATCATCAGTATTCTTATGATTAAGACTATTTCTCACTTAAACCTACCACTGATAATTTTTGCTTTAATCAATTTTGACGTCATTTTTTTAATCGCTAGTCTGGTAACGTTGTACAGCCTAAGTGGATTCAAGTTTCGCATTAGTATTATTGGAGTTCCTTCTTTTAATGACAGTAATGTGGTGGGTTGATGACAAATTGAGAGGCATTTGAATACCCGAGATAGCACACACGATTATTATTCACTTAATAATTTATGTTAGATTGTGTGGGTATAGAACGAAAGATAAAAATATTAAGACATTGTCATCCCTTTTATTGTTTATAAAACATTGATAAAGGTTTTAGCGAATTTCCCATATAGGGAATAAGCTAATACCGTAGTACTCATGGTAAGACCTGGACCCAGGACCAATTTAATTTTCATTTTGAGGTCCCTAGAGGCCAAAAACACCATCCGTTCAAATTCACATATATATAAAATATTTATATATATATATAATATATGTGTCCGTTAGCGCGATAACTCAAGCAAAAATGTCCGATTTTGATGAAATTTGGTACAAAGGTGTAAACCTACGTTAATTCGAACGAGTTCGCGATCCAGCATAATCGGACCATGGGAACGGGGGTTTATGGGGTAAAAATGGGTTTTTCCCATTTTTTACCCTAAATACAACAAATTTTGCAATTTATTTCCAAACAGTTTTGTAGAGCTTAAAAAAAATAAATAATTTGGTATATTGAAGCGCTGTTGTATGCCTAACGGTCATGGAGAAAATTCAAAAATAGTGTAATTTAAAATTCCCATGTTATTCTTATGGAGAAAATGAAAATTGTTGTAGTTTACTTGTTTATGGATATATATTGATAAAATTTTGAAAATTTATTTATTTCATCCTATACTATTGACGTATGGTCAAAAAACACTTTTTACCTTCCCCGTAGCAGCAAACCTAAGCAATCGTTAAATCTAGTTCCAAATCAGACAAGTTGAAATTCGCTTAGTCTGCAGGTTTGCTGCAGCGGGGGTATTTATTTGTTAGGTTCTGCATTTTTTGATACTATATTTGGACATAATACATTGTATAGTTTACTAAGAAGCTGCTCTTTCAGTTTAGTTTGCTAATTATAATTAATTAGTTTTATAAGAATGTAAACTTTGAGATTTTTCAATTATGGACCACTTTATCTTGGCAATGGAATGTCTACTTTGCTTTCACTTATATAGTCAAAGTTTGATTTTACCTTGCAGTCTGAGAAGTATTTTCCATTTACCCCCTCCACTTCAGGAGATGTGGCAAGGTATATTGATGTCTGAGCTCCTTGTTCAGGTGTCTGAAATCATAGTGCGAATCAATATCGTGTACAACTAGACTAGCTATCAAAGAATGCCTTGTACAGTCGGGTATTCTGTAGAATGAAAAGATAAATTAAACATCGTCTAATATGAATCAGGCAAAGTATGAAATATTGTACCCACACAAGCATAACAACAATATTTAATCTTTTATGAAACCGTGTATATGAGGAATGATGTATACAACTTTGTTGTATACAACTAAAATATTTTAAGGATTTTAGGGTTTCTTTACCGTGAAATACAACTTTTAATACTTTTTAGCTTATTTTACCTCACACTTATTATTTAAATTTCTTATTTCTTTTTTATAGACGTTTTTGTTACTTTAAGGAGTCAGGTTTCACAATAGAACTTAGTTTTTGGTAATTTTAGACATTTTTATATTCATTAGATGTACAGTTGATCCAGTGGGACGAAAAAACGTACGCACAAAAGTCCAGATATGTCAAAAAAATACTAGGCCTACACTCAAATATTTTTTTTATGAAGGGAACGAGTAATGGAGAATAAACCATGTAATCGAAGAGCTTTTCTGATTATAATATTTCTGAATACCTTAAAAAATCCCTTGATGATGAGTTTGAGGCCCCAGCTGAGAGGCACCGGGACGTTCCTCCAGATCCCTGAGTCTATTAGTCCCGGGTGAAGACAGTTGGCTGTGACTCCTGCATATCATATTATATTCATTGTCTTTAAATGCCTTCCAAAATTGATCAAACTCTTCTCCACTCATCAAACCCAATTGGGGACAGTCTGAGGAATTCATTTCATTTTATTTCTAAAAATAGGTAAAGGATTGTGAATTTATAAACACAATTACGTTAATACAATTTGGAAACCATCTTAAATTGCTAAGCACAATTAATTGTGATAGTAACTACGCCTTAGATCTTCTAATAATTCCAAATATGGTGCTAAGTGTATACACCTTAACAACAAACAAGTCCAACCAAAAAAAATAGTTCAACAAACGTAATTTGTATGTATGTTGTTAAGTATCATATGTGTCATATTATTACATTTTTTTATATAACATATTTTGTTGAATTGATGCTCTTGAACTACTAGAGGGATGTTTATAAGTCCATTGTTTGTGAGATCGAATAACGACACCGGTACATGTTTTATTATTTTTGTATGATAATGCACGTTACTCACCAGTTCCTTCGAGCCTGCGTGCAAGTTCGCGGGTGAACAGTATGTTGGCGTACTTGCTGCTATAGTAGAGGTAGGCTGGTAGAGTATTGACAGGGTTAGGGTTGTTAATGTTGACACTGGCCAAGCGGTAAAGAGATGAAGCCACCACCACTACTCGGCTGGGCGCCGACCTCTTCAGTAGATCTGTAGTTATAAAAACACAGTGAGAGAACATTAGTTTACATGACGTATATTGATTCCATATGGTGACTAGGTAAATGATCAAACAACGATATTTAACTGTGAGGAATAATTGTTTCAGAAACTTATTTGCTATGGAAATAAATACATTAGACGTCGGGTTTCCTATGGATCGTCATTGACTTGTTTCATAGAAGGGGTACTTCTATGAAATTTTGTTGCAAATAAATAAAACACAAAAAAGATTTTTGAAATAACCTTTAGAGGTAGCTCACTAGTAACCTATTTTATGTACAAGTTAAAAGGATGAGTCATTACGTATAGCTCTTTCCATACATAAAATAATACTGCCCTTTAACTACCCTTGAATAAATAGATTACCAATTTGAAACTTAAAAACGCAATACTATAGCATTCTTTTTTGAGTAAATTAATTTTTCTAATGGATTGCTGACACGAAATTTGGAGCATGACGAAGTTTAAGGGTAATTATCAACATGATGAGATTATGATCAATATATGCTGACGCATCGTACAGCTGTATCACCCACCAATCAGAAGATGCGTCAGCAGAAAAGGTCCAAACTGGTTGGTCGCCATGGTGACCTCCAGGCCATCAGCAGTCTTCTGCTTGCTGAATGTATTGGCCATCCCAGCGTTGTGGATAAGCACATCTAACCGTCGCTCCGTGCGGTTCACTTCCTCAGCAAAGGCCCTAACTGACGCAAGAGAGCTCAGGTCGAGCTTCTTGACTACGATGTTGTTGTTCTTTGTAGCCTCTACGATACTATCTGCAAATTAATTATGGTTTACAATTGTATTTATTTATTTATTTTTTTTTTTGTCAATTTAAAACACGATGGAAACAATTTAATTTCAACCAAACCAACTATAATATAATATGATATAATTGCTGCTTCAGAATATCCAATGGACTTGTTACTACGATGGATAAGGAATACTGAATACTATGCCAGTCCTTAAGGTAGGAGGAACTTATATAATCCGTTAGTAAGATAAACGATTGACCGCATCAACATGTAATAACCCTTTGACAAAAAATATCTTTTAACTCTCTAAATAGGGTACAATAATATTGTATTATGAAATTTTCTTATTTCTTCAATTTCCAGCAAATCGAAACCAACTAGAACTTCTACGTGGTAAATTAGAACACTAATATAATTTAAAATGATCTTTATATTACTAAAATCTGTGCCGGGTGGGAATCCCTTTAATGTAAGCTGACATTACGATTCATATGATTACTCTTTGGTGGACAATGTTTACAAGACTAGATTCTCAGCATTAAGCCATATTTCCCTTGACATTTCTAAATGTTTTTGACCTTATAAAAAATATAACTTTAGAAGTCTTATCTTTCGGTAAAAAAATAGCGCATGTAAATTTTGAGAGAAATTGCAAACCTTAAATAAACTCTCAAATAAGCACTCTGTATGATTAAATATTTAATCTAATGTATACGAAAAATATTGTAAGTTTAATCATAAACGAGCCAAGCTCACGTCCACCAATAACCCCACACGTTTGCGCGTGTGATCACGTCTGCGAACGTTATATCGAACATTATAGTTGATTGAAAACATTGCTAGTTTTTAAAACAAATTTAACAATGGAATTAAAAATGTAATACCAGCTCGCATATGAAAAGGACCAGGGAGGGGTTTTGACATTTTAGTTTATCGTACAATTATAAAGTAGATTCCGAAAATAGTATGTGAACATTTCTGCTTCCTACATTTGTAGAATCAAAACGGTGGACTATTTGAAATCTTACCGATTTGTCTTCCCATAGGATTACTTGAACAAAGCTGCTATTGTCTGCTTTGTTTATTGCCTTTCAATGTTGACATGTCTTCTTGAAGAGTCGTTTGATTGAAAAATATTGTTTGAACCATAAATATAACCCAGTTCTCTCAAGTGCAGTTTTACTCAAACTGGAATTCGATGCATGTTTTAATGCGACGGTTTTAAATTTTTAGACAAAAATTGAAGTTTTGTGCTTGTTTGATATTGATTTTGGTATCATTACAAAAGCAGTGAGACATATTCAAGTCGCTCACTCAGGACTTAAGCCACCTAGTGATCCCACAATAATTAAGTGGCTAAATATTTAGTTAGGAACTGATATTCATCTGCAATAATTGTAAAAGTTTATCCATAACGTTAGCAAAAGCAATATCGCTTGGTACAACAATTAACTTTGATTTAACATTTCTCGGACTAAACCTTTGACGGCTCAAGTGATAAGTTTCAATCACTACTGTGCAATAATATGTGACAAAACTGTAACGCAGTAAACTAACCAGTAGAAAATGTCTTTTATAGTAAGTAAATTGGTAAATAAGTTCAATAAGCTGCCATTTGGTTTCTACAAATGTTAGGAAGCTTAAATTTTGACATTATATTATTGATAAACCTACGTTATAAGGTTCGTTGAGTTTTAAAGCTCTTGGCGCATAAATGGGGTAACGTCAAAACCTCTTGTTGGTATAATCTGTGTCCTAACTTGCCAAAGCGAGGAGTGGATAGTTGGGAAGTACATCAACATTTGCATCATGTCATGCTTAGCACCATGAATGATAGCGGGTAATTTCCCTTGCCCCTTCCATCACTGTCGAGGTGCACGTATAAGACGTCTGCCTTGAGTATGACCTTGAGGCTAGGATCGCCCGGTGTCAAGGACGAGTCCTCGGGTCCTGTGGCTTCCTCGAGGTGATGAGGATCTCTTCAGAGGTTCTTGGACCTCCACAGTCCTGGATTCTGACTGTTACAGTAACTAAAACTTTTGACGTAAGACCGAACTTCCCTTTACACTTTTAGTGGCAGTAACTCAATTTTGGTGGAGACGTTTTAAGTTTTAATATTTGCTATATCTACATTAAGGGTTCCTTCCTTGATTTAGTTAGACCAAACTGCTTCGATTTAATTGTTTAGGAAATTGTTAATAGGAATAGAAAATCACCTTAAAACATGAATATTTCATAAAATTCTAACTCTATGCCTTAATTTATGTCGGAACTTAGTAATGTTTTTGTAATTGTATTCTAACAGGAAAGGATGGTGTGACCTATTATTATGAGCTACATGGAGAGGTGACGTGACTAAAGAAAATTCCAGGAATGAGGATACGATTACTCATATGAATTAATTAGTTTTAGAGTAGTAGAAATATGGAAATACAAGGTATATTGTATAATGTAACAATAAATGACGTTGGCTCCATAATGTGTAATATAATGGCTCTGTTAAAACTGTTCATTCTAGTTGAATGAAATACCATTGAAATTTTATATTGTTATTATTTCTAAAGAGATATACTCTCCGTGCTAGGCCCCGTCAAGGCTATAGTTTTACTAAAGCAAGACACTTTATTTAATTAAACCGTTACGGAACAGGAGCTGCTATGCTAAAATTGCTCGATTTTTATTTTATAACGTTCTCCTGTGGTTGCTGTCCTAGGTTATGCTTTATTATTATCAAGTAAAATATGTTTATTAGTTTAAAAGATCATGAATTTTTGCAACTCGTGCAAAAAGAATAGACAAAAGGTAAATCCCAATTCAATAAATTGCATTTGTGGACGCTTTACCAACTCTGTGCAAATAAGAACATCACATATTTTTATCTAAAAGAAAGGTGTGTTGATTAGTAGTAAAACCCATCAGGATTGAAAAATATTCACCTCTAACTTTGTTTGCTTGCTCCAGGTTTCTGCAGGCCATGATGATTTTGGCCCCTCTCCTGGCTAGCTCCAGCGCAGTCTCCTTCCCTATTCCTGCACAAGACACAAATCATACGTCAATGACACAATCATTGGTGTAACTATATACTGAAACAAGGTAACATGGATGAGGCTTTGTATATAATAGAATATTTAAATTAAATGTTTGTTCAAAGACAAATGTATTTCTAACGTCCGTTTTTCTGGACAAGAGCTCCTGTAAACATGACCACGGATTTGTAATTGATTTGTTTTTCTGTATCAAACAACATTTTTGCTATCTACAAATATTTTTTTATATTAATTTATGTTAAACATAGCTCGATATTAGAAGTAGTTTGTAATGGTAAAAAATTGAAAAAACAACAGATTTTTAAACGGTGAGTCATTTTTATATTATTTTTAAAGTTCCCACCCATCATTCGTATTGTTACATGATATAGAATCTAATTGTACAAGGAGATTTTGTAAAAAAGATTATTGTTAAACATTTTCTTACTTTTGATACAATATTTTATAACCGTCCAGTATACGGTCGTAAACCACAAACTGTGTCGTATCAATATTTAAGCAGACAAACCAGCAATGTACTAGACAGATGGCGAGGCTATTACGATTGACCGCGATCGACGACGACTCAATATCCTCATCACCTTTGATTATTTAGACGTTATAAATAAACTGCTTTAAATCGATATTGTATTGCCGTTTGGAGAATATTAATTTTTGGTTTAGGAAGATAGTCCATGGTTCTCCAGGAATATTTAAACTTCTAAAAGTATACTTGGAACACAGAATACCTCATAAGCAACACACAGTGAGTCCATAGAAATTACAGAAATAATAATTTATTATAATGACATGGGCTGTAGTGTTACCAACTTTCTCACCAAGAAATACTGTTTGAATAAATCATAGTTTAATGGTTGACTTGCTCTAGATCATCCGCTTACATGAGTATTTGTTTTTACCACGAATATTATAACAGAAACTGTAACCTATGGATCATAAACATAAACAAATGACTTAACTGGCCTGAATCCTATACTAATAACGTTTGGACAGTTTCGTTTAAGCAATGTTAAATAATGTTTATATTACTTTAATATTACTTTTGGTTTAAGATCCATACCGTATCTGCTCTAGTATTTTTGATTTTACATTTAAGAAAAACGTATTCGATAGACACCAATCGTAATGGTTTTTTTGTTCTTAAAAGCAACATTTTACAGCATTTTTTAATATGCTATCAAAAGTATAATTTTTCTAGAATCTATTTTGTAAGGCTGTAGCTGTACTCGAATGACTGTGACACAAACTCAATTGTTCAATAGATTTTAATAGTTTTGCCGTCTTTAGGGTTTTTCTTAAAGTTGCATTAACATGTTAAACGTGGACAATATTTGTTTAAAATAAGAATCACACTAAATGGTTTCGATAGAATACTGATTCATTCACTTTGAAATAAAACCGATTTTAAAATGATTCTAAATAATGGGTATCAGCAATCTGACACCTTTCCCTTAAGCTTGTCCACACCCTTTATTATTGTGAGAGTAACTATGATATTTTATAGGGAAACTCCCAAAAAGTTGCCATAACTTCTGGACCCTGTTATTTATGGAAATGGGATTTATTTTGTGGTATTGTACCATTTTGTCCAGAATTTAAAGGACCGTATTTTCACTCAGGATTCCCAAAGAGATTATATCATAAATTGTTACAAACAATACAGTTATGTTCAACTTCAAGCAACAACCACCATAGTAATATTTTCAATACTGACCAGAGTTGCTGCCGGTGATGATGACAGTTTTGTTGTCCATCCTGACGTGGTTGGTGCACACTCCTAGAGTCGCGTAGTTGTATATCCACACGGTGAGGACTGCGAGCACTGCTAGCAACGCCGCCACGGACACTATCGTCACTAGCAGGTCCTTGGTGCCTTCGTCCAGCTCCTCCACTGTCTTCCACACAGACATCTCGTCTCCGCCTACAGCCACACTAGCCTGTAGTAGTGTAGAACACTGCCTCACTGAGCTGCGGCCCCCACCACGGGAACAAACTGTCGTGTCACCAGGCTATTAATTATGTGGTGAAATTGTAAAATAGAATTTTTTTTAGAACCCTGAAAGGTGTTAAATCAGTTCGAACAATTGTTCACACAATTTGCTGGTGTTGATTAATCACATAGCATTTAAAATTACAAAGACACTAATTACTAGTTGTATCTGAGTCCTTACATTTTATAATTTATATAGGTTACTAGCTGTACCCGCGGGCTTTGCCCCGTTTAACTTCACAAGTATTCGCATGGCTCAATCACGTCCTGGTTGCAGTTCGTTCGCTACGCTCACTCACCTTTAGGTTGGAGCTCGTTCGCTGCGCTCACTTTCCTTCAGGTTAGCTCGTTCGCTACGCCAACTCGCCTCCAGGTTGAAGTTCGTTCGCTACGCTCACTCACCTTTTGGTTGCAAATTAGCTGTTGTCATAGATAAAAAAAATAATAGTGCTGCACCCTGTTGGTAATCCTTGTAACTTTAATGCTATTGAACATCATAGAACAGAACCAACTTGTTTAAATGAAACAGCTGTTAAGATTCATTAATTCCTTTTAAATATGAAAAATCATAAGGTTAACATGGGAAACTCCAGAGCCACTGGGGCGGAGCCCGAAAGCCCGATCAGGATAAAAACTACTTAGTTTTCCTATTTAATACCCAAAGAATCGGTGTACCGAATTTCAGCCTCCTAGGTAAATGGGAAGTGGGAGAATTAGTGATGAGTGAGTGAGTGAGTGAGTGAGTGAGTCAGTGAGGGCTTTGCCTTTTATATATTTAGATATATAGGTAAGTGGATACAGTGTTCGCGTATTTATTAAGGTAGCCGGTTTGATTCTAAGAACAGTTGCTAGATCTGATATGGTTCGAAACTGAACCTAGATGTCATTGATTATTAAAGTCTGAATAAATTATGGTCAGTAACAAATGACAAAGCTATCATTTGACACTCATCTTCTACTGGTATCGCTGACGAATACAATTTTTTCACTTACTAAATCTAGCCTAATCCGACAGTGACCGATTTGACAGATCAGTAGGTTATCACAAATTAATCACAATGAAATGCGATATCACGATTTTAAACCACAATTATTATACTAAATAACTGTTCAGTCCAAATATAATTTACCAATTAGTATTATGATTCCCAACCAATAAATCTAAGAGTTTAATATAATATAAACTTAATTATTTTATATTATACAGTATTAATAATTTGCTTAATTATTTTATCGGATCATTTGTTGAAGTTTTATATGATTTTAAAAATGTTTGCTGTATGTAGTTATTGTATTAGTAGTCAAAATTATTTAATTGGTTTATGTTTATTGTCTTTGGTGCAAGTTTAACTGACAAAATGTTTGTTTTATTTGTTTATTTCCCGAAGATTGACTCAATATTTATTTATTTTCCCCAAAGATCCCCGAGCTAAAGCGGGTTGGTTGAGGTATTTGTGTGTTGCTATCTACCAAACACTATCAAACTATCACCACTATAAGATCTCTTTATTAAAGCCCGATACATTTAACCTAGGTACGAATACTAGATGACCAACAAGAGATAATTACACCAAGGGCAAATACGTAATCACACTACCAGTGCATATTAAATTAGTCTCTACACTATCGTAGAGGCCATCCGTAGCAGTATATTCGTATCTTGGTTGGTGGCGTAATAAATGCAGGGTTTCTATTAGTCGTTGAACTATCCAATAACTACTAGGCCTATAATAAAAGACCCCAATAACCACTATACGGTAATACGGTAGCGGTGGCAATATCTAAAAGTTAGGTGATGGTACTGTGTAACTCAATACGGCTCTAGTATGTTTCTACTAACTGTTATTCTTTGCTTGTGATACAATTAGATCAACAGCATTATCCAGAGTGGGCATGTACAGGATTGAGGAGTAAACGCATCTTAGGCTGAGGAAAATGTACTCCTGACTAATAGGAAAATAAATTTCAATATTTAAACACTATTTTACGTTGTTGAACAAAGGATAAGTGTGTAAACAAAAAATGGTAAGTATAAGATTTTTAAATTTAATTTTAATTCGACTATAAGTAAATTATAACTATGCATACATTATAATAAATCGTTATTTATTTAATCAACGTAATACTTATTTACAATTTATACATCCAGCTATTGACACTAATAAACGTGGAGATAGCACACTTAAATGTAATTTTTAACAATAGATATTGACTTAAAACAATTAATTCTTTATTGCATTTTCATGAATCTACTGTGTCCGACCTTACTGCATTAGAAAAGTTGCTGATTGTTTATCTTTGAAATTTAACCTCGAAATCTGTCTTTAAACAAGAACTGCCCTAATTCTAACACCATTGCGGTACAATAGCAACGCAATGGATCGTATTGAATTTCAGGGTTAGTAGGGCGGTATTACCATTGACGGTTGGTACATAACTTAGGCCTAGTTTGTGCCTAGTAATTTATTCTTTGTATGGGATATTCATTACAGAGTAAAGTTGTTTCTTCTGTATTTAGCACAGATTTTATAGTTGATAGGGACATAACAAATTGTATAGTTTACAATAGTCATCCCTTTTAGTTTGGTATGTTTATAGATCGGGTGATTAAACTAATTGATTATAACAATCAAGGTCAGTCAAACTAAATTAATTTTTCATTCTAAAACTGACAATACTTTACAGTGAGAATGCAATGTATACAGTATATGTATAGAAAATTAAGAAACTGTCCAATGGTGCACATTCTTGCATAACGTACTTAGTTGGGAGAGAAAGCTACTGAGCATGTAACTGGCAACGCTTCAGAGAACTTTGTCTCGTTTCACACTGCACCATTGTTGAAATTGTTTTGTTATATTTATAATGCAGCGTTATATTATATAAGTAGAAAACTCATAATGTGTGGTTTGACAAAATTTGGTTCTTTACGAAAATTTAATTTACAACTGGAAAAATTCTACACTATAATAACTTTTCAATTATTTTTCATACAGTTTTTGCCAATAGTTAAAACTAAACTGTTAAAACCTCTAACGGTTTAGGACAAAACTTTGTTCACTGAAGGAAATATTTATTGTACACCCAAAAAGTCTATAAAACACTTTATTCATATGTATATAAGTTATACCTAATGGAGCTTAATGTCATTCTTCTATGGCAGCTGTTTGCAAAGAGTAGCTTCTATGTTAAGTGGTGACATCAGAACTAAACTATGTACAAGAATTAGTTATTTATATTTAGAATACTACAAATAATCTAAGTAAACTTACAAGTGAGTGAAGGACAGCCGCGGCTCGTTGCGGCGAGAGTAGCGGAGAATGAAAGTAAGAGTCGGAGTTGCCCGCGGTCGGAAGAGCTTTCTCCGGCCTTGGAGGGAGCAACAGGTAACACCTTACTCCTTACATCACATCTTATCTGTCTCTGCTTGTACCTTCGTCGTCCCCCCTAGCTGATCAATAACTGGAGTAGGCTATGTACTCAACTTATGAAGAGCCAGAAAAGTGTCTAATACTAAGACATGCTTAAAACCTTTCCAGCTATATAGAGAAAGTAACGTACAGAAAGTATTACGAATCCAGGCAACATACACTTTCTGTCCTAACCTTATGAATTAGGCACTTATGAAATCGATAACTTGACCATACGTGTTCAGCCCTGCCAAAGATTTTCAAATTTCTGTCCGCCGATGATCATAGAGCAACATAGATTGCCACCCCGTCGTAGTACATACTTCCAAAAGTAATGCCAAAACACACAAGTGTATCTAGCAAAGCGTGGGCCCAACAAACGTGTTACTTAGTTGCAATTTCTTATTGACCGCAATATAGTATTATTGTTTGCACTATACAGACTGGTCTAAATCCTAGTTCGAACCTTATAGCCATCCCTTTCATTACCATATCATCCTCCCCCTTTTTATAATCTTCTATTTTTGATTATATCGCTTTAGATGGAGAGAGATAGAGAGATAGAGATAAAAATGAAAAAAATTGAGAAAGCTTAGTTTGAAATATGAAACGTAGCAAATAAGAAAAATATATTCTATGGATATTTAATTTTAATATCATAATTCATACAATTACCTCATATATTGCTTTATTTTATATTAGGTAAATTGGGCAAAAAGATTAAGTAAATCCTCAGTTTCAGCACATACCTTATTCCTTCAATTTACTTGGTAGCTTTTATAAAGTAAAGTTCTAAACTTTTAATGAAGCCATGATAAAGTAATTAAAAGTTGTAGACGCTAAAGAAGCGGCCTGATCTAAACTTAGATGCTGTCATGAGCCGTTTGACCTTGTGATCGAAAGTGCCAGGGTCGGAACTAATCAAAGTTAATAAAATGCAATCAATTATAAAAACAGAATCCTGCTCTATTTTTAGAACTACACGTAAATTAGAAATAATTATTTCAAACAGTAGTATAACGAGGTAAATTTATTGGAAAGCAAATACTTATTAGGATGAATAGCCTATAAATTAATTAAAATTGGATAAACCAACAAAAAACTAAATCCATTACAAGTGTGGTTATTTGCTGTTACACGCTTTATATTTGTTTGACTAATTCCATTAATATCCGGCAAAGTAGTTTACTGATGTGAACATATTGCAAAATATAAGCAGACACTTAAAGAAAGTACATTCAAATGAACTAAACGCACTTAATTCTATACAGCTGGAGCTTGCACGGAGTTTATAATCACCGTAAATTAACCAATGGTCAATGGTAACAACGAAAATGTGTTTATTTTAAGATTTAATGCTAAAGCTGCACTTGTACACGTTTTTGAGACTTTTTTCTATATTTTAAACTATTAATTTATTTTTTCCTATTATTATTTTACTTTTACTGTTACGTTTTTTGGCAATGTAAAAAACAAATCATACAACCTGACGTTGCCCAATTCGTCAAAAACCCTAGTTTAGCAGTGTCAAACACTGAGAAGTAATGTGCTTATTTTAATCCGCAAATATGAGAACATTACTCAGTG